TGCCTCAGGGCCTTCACCTGATGGCAGGTCAAGCAACGGCTTACAAAATCCGCTATGTCCCTTTTCATTCCAGACCACCAATAGTATCTTTTCAGATCCTGATACATCTTCGTACTTCCACGGTGGAACGTATAAGATGTATCATGGGCTTCGATCATAATATCTTTTAAGATTCTCTCATCTCGGAGAACGCATAGGCGGTTTTACCACAACAAGCCCCCGTTTGAGTAGATAGAATATCATGCTAGTCTCTCTATCTCAGTCTGACTCCACACTTTACTGAGGTGTTCATCAGACCTTTGAGCGTCGATAATTTTCTTTCGTAGAGTGGGATGTATGGTCAACTGTGCCATCTAAATAGTACCACCTTTAACCACCACGTCTATCCCAACCATTTTCATCTCATCTTGTAGTCTTTCCTGCGTGGTGATCATCGTAGAAGTATGCATAACCTTCCTGCTCAATGCATCCGCTACAACGTTGGATTTGCCTGGATGGTATATTATCTCTATGTCATAATCCTTTACCAGTTCCAACCATCACCTTTGTCTCATATTGAGCTCCTTCTGCGTGAACAAGTACTTGAGGCTCTTATGATCGATGAAGACTTGTACTTTTTCCCCATACAGGTAATGCCTCCACGTTTTTAGAGCAAACACGACTGCTGCTAACTCGAGGTCATGCGTGGGGTAGTTTCGTTCATATTCCTTCAGTTGTCGAGAAGCATACGCTATCACCTTACCCTTCTGCATAAGCACACACCTTAAACCTTTCCCAGAAGCATCACTATACACCACGAGATTACCTGACTCGTCTGGAACTATAAGAACTGGTGCGGTTACCAAACTCTCCTTGAGTTCCTGGAAACTCTGTTCGTAGGCTGGAGTCCAAGCAAAGGGCTTGCCCTTCTTGGTTAGCTGAGTTAACACTAAGAAAATTTTGGAGAAATCCTGGACAAACCTTCTGTAATATCCAGCTAGCCCCAGAAAACTCCTCACCTCCATGACTATGGTCGGCTTTTCCCACCTCATCACTGCTTCTATCTTAGCCGAGTCCACTGCAATCCCCTTGCTTGACACCACGTGACCTAGAAATGCTATTTCAGACAACCAAAACTCGCACTTGGAGAACTTGGCATACAGCTGCTGGGCTCTCAGTATTGTCAACACTTTTCTTAGGTGTTCTTCATGATCTGCCTTGGACTTAGAGTATACCAGAATGTCGTCGATGAACATTATGACAAAAGTGTATAAGAATTTCTTAAACACCCTATTCATTAGTTCCATGAAAATTGCTAGTGCATTGGTAAGGCCAAAGGACATAACGAGAAACTAGTAATGTCCATAACAACTTCTGAAGGTTGCCTTGGGTATATCCCCTTCTCTGACTCTCAACTGATGATACGCCGACCTTAAGTCAATTTTGGAGAAGACTGTTTCTCCCTGTAGCTGATCAAACAGGTCGTCAATTCTTGGGAGGGGGTACTTATTCTTTATGGTGGCTTTGTTTAGTTCCCTGTAATCAATACACAACCACATGGACCCGTCCTTCTTGACAAACAGAACAGGGGCTCCCTAGGGTGATACACTGGGTCGGATGAAACCCTTATCCAACAGCTCCTGTAACCGTTCCTTCAATTCCTTGAGTTCTGCAGGTGCCATCCTGTAAGGTGCCTTGGAGATCGGCACAGTTCCTGGTTCTAAATCGATCCCAAAATCAACTTCCCTAGTTTTGGGGAAAACCTGACAGATCCTTTGGAAAGATATCTACGAACTCCCTGACAATGTGTACTAATGAGGTTATTTGTTTGTTACTATTGTCTAAGGTCACGTTGGCTAGAAATGCACTTGTGCCACTACGAATCAACTTCTTAGCCCTTAATGATGTTATGATGCTTGGGGCTCCTTTGGAAGTGGCTCCCTTGTAGGTAAAGTTTTCCCCTGATAGAAGCCTAAGAGTCACTATTCGAGTCTCACAATCTATCAAAACGCAATTCACACCTAGTCAATCCATACCCAAGATGACATCGAAGTCTTGCATGCTTAACACTAACAGTGTAGCTTCGATGACACGTCCTGATATTGTTATACCACCTCCCTTAACCCTATGGGTAGCTAACAATAGCTCGTGAGCAGGGGTGGACACTGATAGGGTAATCTCTAAAAGCTCTTTCTCTAGTTGTGCTAGCTCTACAAACTCCTCAGATACAAACGAATGCGTTGGACCCGAATCAAACAATACTAAAGCAAGATGGCCAAATATGGTAGCGTACCTGTGACAACTGCGTCAGGCTGGTCAGCTTGCTTGGCTGTTGTTGCATGGGCTACAGCTCGCCCCTACTGATGTTGAGCACCTTGGCCCCTCTAATGTTGTATTGCAGGTCGGTTGATACGCTGATCGTTCCTCTAAGGGCAATCCATTGCAAAGTGCCCTACCTGGCCGCATCAACAGCAGGCGTTTATTCCTGCCCTGCACTCCCCCGTGTGAGGACGCCGACAGTTAGAACAAAGGGTCATGTTCTGTACCGGGGCTCTTCTTCATTTATCAGTGCGGCCACAGGGCGGTCTACCAGTTCTGGGGTGGCTATAGTCTATCCCTTTCCTGGGCTGCAGTGTGGGATGATTGTGTTGTTCCCAACTATAGCTTGTCGGTGTAGGACGCGTCGAGAAGGGTCGCCACTTGAAGGGCTTTCACATAGACGAAGGATGACTAGGATGCCACATTCCCCTTCAGTTCCTCCCTCAGGCCAGCAATAAATCGTTCGGCCTTCAACTCATCAAAACTAACATAGACTGGAGAAAACCTTGCTAGCCTACTGAACTCTAAGTCATATTCCTTCACTGACCTATCTCCCTATTTCAATTCGTGGAATGATGTCTGCATTTTCACTCTGGCAGTGATTTGGTAATATTTGTGGAGATAAGCATCTTTAAACTGGCATTAGGTAATAAACTCTCCTTGTGTATAATGATCTTCTGAGCACCCTTCCACTAGAAGTGCACCTCTCCTTTCAGCATATACGTCCCACAATGGATTTCATACTTTAGCGGGCAGTTCATAAAATGGAAGGTTGTTTCTTTGGCCTCTAGCCAATTCTCAGCAGCAATGGATCCACCTTGCCTCCATCAAAGGAAGGCGGTTTATGCCTCTAGAAATCTCTTAAGTAGCAGGACTCCACAGTCATAGTCCCTGAATCTTTGACCTCTTGCCCTACTGACTGATTAACATCATAGTTTGTATCATTTAGTTCGTTAGAGCTTAATTTTCCATCGAGGTCATCATGAACGTTTGAAACATCTCTGCTATGGGCATGGCTAACGTCAAGTTTAGTGGGACTGTTGTACAAGTGGTTGGAACCGATGGGACCTCCTTGGAGAAGGGAATAGTAGGCAGTGTATCGAGCAGCCTTCAGGCCTTGGCCTTCCTTCGGCGTCTTTTTGTTCTTGATGGCTATGGTACGGTCCCCTCGCTATTTTGGGGCGTATCTCCAACCTCCTCTTAAAATTCAGGTTGTTCCACTTCAGGTGTTGGAACCGAAGTGTCCTGAACTTCCTCTCTTCTTCCCCTTCTAGGTCCGGGCCCAACATATGGTTCGCGTCTCTTTGGTGCCATTTTCTATCACAACAGAAAAAGAACTATGGTTACAATTCATTCTTAGCACATCTCCTAGGTAATGTGTGGTTATAATGCCATAGTAGGTCATGGTATACTTTATAAATACTAGCTTGACTTTTATCAGTATGTTTCCATCACGTGTCAATATCTAATTGTGAGCAGCATGTGTTTGACGAGCGATGTCATAGAGGATACGACTCTCTATCCTAAATGTCTACAAGACCTATAACCTGACTGCTCTGATACCAAATTTGTCACGACCCAATATTTTACTATGGACCGTGACTAATGACAACACACGAATGCACAAAGTGATTTAAATATGAAATAGAGAAAATCCTTTAATTCCAATAAAGTTTTTGCACGAAAAACTAACAGAACACTTAACAGTTTGGAAATAAATTTCAAAAGAATGCAAATACAAAATAAAGACTAGACCAACGCCCCGGGACAACCCATTCCTCTATGATAATCCCCATCTTCATCACGCTCCCCCTTGAACGACGCCTCACGCTCTTGAAAAAAGAAAACATAGCAAGGATGAACATAAAAAATTATACTCAGTGAGCCACCTACTTGTAGGCTCTCTTCGCATCCTAACTTAACAGGTTCCCACGGTTTCCTAATTTGGTTCTAGGATATCTGGTTCTAATCTTAGCCCCTTGGAGCTTGCCCGTTGGGTTTTACCGGTTCATTGTCCTTTCATTAGACTTCTAGAGGTTCCTTACGCCAAGCTAATATGGTCGATAACTTTCTATGAGGCACTACCTCTACATAGCTATCTGGGACTACATGGTATCTAGCCTAGGGGTGTGCTAAATACCCCTAAGCCCATATAGTCCCCCTATGGGGGAGCGACCCAACCCGTTTCCATGCAGCTAATGGGCTGTACGACGTGGGGACACATTTCCCATGCGAAATGGCTAAGAGTAGTAAGAACTGGTTAGGAACCCTTGTCCTCCCATGAAGCTATAGATATCGTTCTCACCCTAGCAATGAACACTCCTTAGGTACCTTGTTTTCGTGGTAATCCGCTAAGTTCCTAGGGGAAGGTTAAGTCTGGCTAGAGCAACGTATCGGTCCTAATAGCAATTCCCTAGGCTTATCATAGAAATGGGCCCTAGCAAATAACAGAATGTGTATGCAACCGTCTAACATCATAATATATAATTCATGCAAACTAGGCACGCCGACTCAACGGGGCGATGGCCTCCATCAAGCACCCAGAACACGAAGTTCGCGCTCAATGGGACGAACTCATCCATCAAGCGCCCGGAACGCGAAATACACAATTCCAACATAAATTAAACGCATGCATACGTACAACGGAAGCTTAAAGCATACGAGCAACACTCAGATAATTTCACCCAATACACTCATAACAATCAATCTGACTAATCTCATTCATGGATAGCTAATCTAAGGCAAAGGTACTAGCATGCATGCAATCCAAGCGAATCCTACAAGTATTTCTTCCTAAATACCGGGTGGTGACTTACCTAGTTGACGCGTGCCTTTTTTCTAGCGTTTCTATGCCCGTGAGGCGTCCAAAAATACTGATTTTCTTAAATTAGGTCTCTATTCACATAAAACAGTATTAGAACTGGAATTGGGACAACAATCGGGCAAACTGATAAGAATCACGGTGTTCCAAATGGACCTATTGCCAAGAAGATTCAAAAAATGTCATGAAAATTCAAAAAAATATGTACATTAACCACTTAAGCATATCAACATTTGTTAAAAAAAAACTATGTTTAATTTCATAAATTATGTAAAAGTCAAATGGTCAATTTGACTTATTCTTTGTGGAGATTAAAGGGGATCGAGAATAAATCCCGTCCGCAAACATATCAGGATTGAATCCCAGCCACAAACGTCTTTTGTCGGGAAACTATAAATACCCACAATATGTTATGTAAAAAACAGATTCGTGGATGAATGAAATTCAGATATCAAATTGAGACGTTTCCCTTAGAAATTCGAGCATCATATTTGCCATTTCTAAGTTTCAATCAATTCTTGTGGTAGAATTGCACTCGAGCCATTCAATCAAGCCTTGATCTAAGTTAGATTGTGAAGTGACTCAATTTAGAACAAGGTTTCTTAATCTTGCTTCACGATCTTCGATCGTAAGAGGTAATCTAATTCTAGCCTTATCTCTTGGTTGATCCAAATTTCGTATAAGGAGGTGTTAATTACTTTTGATTCAAGGGTTCTTGCTCCAACAAAAGTTTGAATCGTTGGGCTGAGGATTAGGGTTGCGTTATCACAAACAGAGGGAAAACAAGCCAAAACGTTCGTTTCACGCTGCACACGCACCGACAGTGCGCCATCCACACGCGCGGAAGTGCGCCAGTTGTAGGCCACACACGCGCCTACCATGCGTGGTAGCTTCTGCGCAGTCGCGAGTCGGCCGATCCGATTCGGCTCAGCTCGGCTCAAGTTTGCGGTTCGATTCAGGCTTTGCAGGCGACATATGTCATCGTCTCACTGGAGCTGTGTTGTTGCAGCCGACGGTCGACGCGTGTCCGGCGCCTGTCGCGCCGCCCTCTACCGCTCACCGGCCGACTTTTTTTTGTTTTTCTCTTTCTCTATCCTCTGCAATCCGTAACATAGAGTACCATTTCTGATTTTCATATCTTTTGATTCGTAGTTCGGATCGATATGATTTCTTCGGTAAGGTTCTAGATCGTGTTACGGGCTACGTTCAGGTATTTTTTTCGTAATTTTTTTTGCTTATTTATCGGTCGAGTTAAGAGCGTCAGAAGTTCGCTTACCGTTCTCGGACGATTCTCGAATCTCCACCTTCGGGTTGAGATTTTTCCCAAACTTCTTCGGAGATCGGGTGTAGAGTTGTTTCTAGGTGAATAAATCAACATTTTAGGACTCGATTCACATAGGAAAAACTCAGGTATGAAAATGTCGTTTAGAACCTTACCTCACACATCGTTCTTGGATCTTGACGGAGCATCGGCCTCGCTAGCCTCTCAGTCCTTGTACAAGTCTCATTTGAAGGTGGATTCCGATGGTGGTCAGATGAACTTCATGACGACTCTTTTCTGTTTCCTCTCAATTTTCTCTCTAACTTTATTTTTCTTTTGCAAGAGATTTGATGGGGGTTTTCCTTGAACCCCTATTATGGCTGGGAAAAAATGACATTTTTGCCTCTCTATTGACTTAGCTTTTTTTTTTTTTTTTTTTTTTTTTTTTTTTTTTTTTTTTTTTTTTTTTTTTTTTTTTCGCGTTACACGTAGTTACTCTCCGTGAGTAATGGGTATTGGAGTGTTACATTCCTCTCCTTCCTGCTTTTTCTCATCGTTATATCTCCTTCGAAAACTTTGTGTGGTGACGACATTTATTTCGGCATCCTGGCTTTGATACCAAATATTGTGAACGAGAGATGGATCACCCACTTGCTGAGAAGTTGTTGAATATACATATATGGGTCATAATTGCACCAACCAAAGGGAAAGTATGGAACGGATTACCTTGATGATCAAGATCAAGAGTAAAGAAAACTCATTTATAAACTCGTGATTTGAATCGCTCCACAAGAGGTTTGATCAATACCACTTGAATAACTCTATCATGCAAGTTCTAAACACAAGAATTTGTAAAAGAAAAACTTAGCTCTCAACAAAGCTAAAATAGAAATTCTTTTCTTAATTCCAAAATCTGATATCTCTAATCAAAGAAAAAGAAGGTTTTATACCGCCTTTACACCAAGAAGGTTTTATATAGCTTTTACACCCTTAACCTATGTGATACACAACTTCTAAATTAAAATAAGCTAGTAAATGAGAAATATCAATAACCTCCAAATTAAAATGACTAGTTAATGGTGAAATATGGTAACTTATGCGGGTTACAATATAACCTTAACTCCTATATTTAAAACTAGCTTAACTTGGTTCATTCATGCATGTTTTGCTAGGGAGGTATTTCTATCGATCACCTAAATGACGAAAATCATATTATGTTCGTTCATAAATGTCTATGAGGGAGATATTCCTATCAATCACAAATACCCAATGCAAAAAAATCATAAGTCATACATTCAAGCTAGCTCAATAGGGAGATAACATTCATCAATCACCCAGAGCACAAATTACAATATCTCATCCTCCATTCTAATACAATGAAAACCATTAGAAAAGGTATACAACTCAATTTCTCATTCTAGGGGCTTTTTCATGATTTCCATATTATACCTATTATTTTCATTCAAAATTGCTCAATCTGAGTCCTACTCATGCATATTTTAATCGGCTAACGCAAGATATGCTCAAATGCTAGCTCATCCTAGTGATCCATATCAGTATTACTTGCCTAAAATCTATGTGATTACAATGTGCCCTTAGAAGCTTGATTTTCCGCTAGTTGGAAGTTCCAAATTTCCTGAAAATTTATTGGTAGGTTCTGATTCAAATTAGATTATGTTGAGTATCGAAACTGAGACAAAAAATGTTCAAATAGAGGGAAAAAGTAGACCCACACGCTATCTCACGTGCCCTAAAGGTGTCTTACGCGCGTTTCCACGCGCACGTGTCTACGCGACAAAGTTTGGTCAGTTGTCTCTTGCTTCCTACATTTGAGCCTCAACAACGTTAAGGTTTTTCTCCAAATTTTTTCATGGTGACATGTGGCACAAGCTGGTTGGTGCATTGTATCGAGTCAGGTGGCCGAGTCGCATGCAGGTTATCGAGTCGTGGTCTACCAACCTTCAAATCCTGCCTAACATATTATTTTCGTTTTATTTCCTTTCCATGCACAACATTATGGCACATGTTTTTCTTTCGGCCAAATATGCCACACTCTTACTGCTAAAGAATCACTCCAAGGGAAAGTAAGATTCAAATTACCTTGTTCATCAAATATCTAAAGAAGAACACTTGTTTACTTGTTTGAGATTCTAATCACTTCACAAGCAAGATCGATCATGTCCACCTTGAATGATCTTAAATATGCAATCTAAACTATATAGATTTGTAAAGAAATTTAATCCTGAAAAGCAAAAATGCTTATTTTACTATATTTTCTAAGTCTAATTTACAAAACTACATACATGGATTTATAGTCTCAAAATGAAAACTCTTAACCTTCATGAGGCATTTTAAGAATGGTAAGTTTAGTACTTTATTATTATAATTAGTCATTATGTAAATATAACCTTAGAGTAAATAAACAGTCTTAAAATACTATAACTCTAACTTATCATTCACTCAAAATTTGTAACCATCTAAAATAAATAAAGTTTGATTTTTATTTAATGTGGCATGAATTGCCACATTTTATGATAATTTGAACACATTTTCTTCACATCTTCCTTGAAATTTATATTTCATGATTGGTGTCTTGGTTCATATCACCTATGATTATGATATATGGCCTTATACGCGCCTGACGTGTCTCTTCTCCTTCAAACATGTTTCATACGTTGTCAAATTCTAGATCTCATTTTCACGGTTTATTTCTAATTTCTTTGAATTTTCTTAACTTTTCCTACCAACTCGAATCAATATGATTTCTTCCTATAAGTTGTAAAATTTTAATTTAACATCCCAAATATATTTTTCTTATAATTAATTTCAAACAAAAATATATATTCAAATCTAAAATTGGCTAATTTTTTTTATAATTACATTCTTGACCAAGAGTTAACTCCTATTTCCGGTCTAAATTGACTTCGATTTACTTCATGAAATATGAGCTTAATCAACTTACTTCATTTTCAAAACCTAACTCCTAATAAAAAAAAACAAAATCGAGTAAAAATACGAAGTCTTATCTCTCATTCTTCCTCGACGTGCTTGTGTTACATGTTTGTTTAGGAGTTTCACTGTCGTAGGTCCACCTTGGAAGCTCATTCCCATCGTTGAAGTGACACAAGAGAAGAGGAAGTGTATAGTTGAGTTCTCGGGTGAAGGGGAAGAAAGCCCACAAGTTTCGATGTCGAGTTGGGTTAGGTCGATCGGTCTGGCTCTAGACAAAGTTATCCACCAGCACATCAATCATCACATCTCAACTAAGTATACACAACACAAGCCTACGCTTAGTAGCCCATGAAGCCTAGTCCAATAGCTTCCAGCCCACCAGAAGACTTCAGGCCTTCTGGCTTTAGCTCCAACCCCACCAGCATAGAGGGTAGCTGAGTAGCAAACGACTTAGCCTAGGTGCGCGTCCAATTGCCTCCCATGCAGCTCATCCTCAACTTAAGTGTAACGAACCTAAATTTTACCTATTTAATCTAAGGTTATTACTATACTTTAAAATACGAAATATACATTAAATGAGTCTGGTTCATAAATGCGACTTACACTCGCCTTTTATTACCTCGTGAAAGAGAAAATGATTACAACGGAAAGAAAGGAAAAGAACATTATTGAAATAAAGGAAAAGGAACAAAACTAAATGAATGTCTTATACTACTCTAAGGTTTATTATGCAAATACAATTCAACCTATACTAATCTATACTAATGTTGCAACCCGAATTCAACCTAGACTAGGAAATGGAAAAAAAAAAACAACTACCCTATGCATGTGCCACGGTCCCGAGGTGTATGATGCCGCCGTCGATGTCACATGGGTGCCTTGCCCTTATCTGAAAAAGTGAAGTAGCACGAGACTTGAGTATTTCTAGAATACTCAATAAGTGACCTCCTATCGGGGTTATGCAACAATCGCATGCAATGAAATGATGGGACCTATCGTTTCGTTTCGTTTTCCCTACGATGCTGTCCTAACGGGTAATCATGGACATGTACCATATACTCTACACATAGCCCATACGTGCGAGTATGGGCTCACCAGCTAGTTCGCACACCGCTGGGCCACTTTCCTTATTCGGTGGGCATACTCTAGGAGCCCCTTATGCTGGGACCCATTAAAACTAGTAACCGTCACGGCAGCGCTATACAAAGCATAACAATCGTTGTCCTGCCATTGGATGTACGTGTTTGTACCCTCGTGATAGGATAGGGTTATCCCCCCAGATGCATGAACACACAATATGCATGAGGTTCCCACTAGTCCTACATTTAACATTAATGAACATAACCCCTTGTCACGTTTCATGCTTACATGTCATTCTCATTTTCATTTCTTTACTTATCATACATATTCCTATCGGGGTTATGTTTCTATGCAGTTTACCGTATTTCATGTCATACAATTCATGCTGTTTACATTCAAATATTCTGTACATTCATGCCATAATCATTCAGGAACCACATATCGTCACATGCATATCATATCACATCAAACAAAGCAGCATACATAGCATACATTCACGTTCACATGAGTTCGCACTTAAGCACATTAAACTGGCATACAATTCAATGACACGTGCAAATCCACGGGCACGTGCCAACATACAACAATTAACGCGTAACCTACGACGGGTCAGCCACTTACCTGGTTAGCTTAAGTCGTTGTCACGTATATATCCTTAATGAAAGTTCGATTCCGTCCTTTGAAATCCAAGTCAACCTATGTGTGCCCATGACATCAGTTTCAAGTTTGAACTCTATAAAATTATTTCTCTAATTTACATGGTTAAAATTCTGATATTTCTTGTTAGACAGAATTTAATGGAGTTTCAATTAAATTGCGGAGGCTTGGTTCAATCAAGCAGCTGAGTATTGGAAACAAGCTATAGCACTGACTCCCGTTAATTCTATTGAAGCACAAAATGGGTTGAAGATCACACGGTCAAATAAGAAAACTCTACAAGGTCAAATAAAAAAACCCTGTTTTATTTTTAAATTATGTTAAATCTTCCCTTCTCCCTCTTTGTAATTATTTTCTAAATAGATTTTCAGTTCCAGTTCAGTAAACAATTTTAATTCTGTAAATAAGATATGTTGGATGATGAAAGTCCCACATCGGTTAATTTAGGGAATGGTCATGGGTTTATAATCTAAGAATACACTCTCCATTGGTATGAGGCCTTTTGGGAATCCCAAAGCAAAGCCATGAGAGCTTATGCTCAAAGTGGACAATATCATACCATTGTGGAGAGTCGTGTTCGTCTAACTAGATATTCCTCTAATTCTATATTTATTTTTAAACCGATATTATTGGCCAATTTTAATAGATTGCCAATTTTAATAGATTGTTAGCCTACTATATTACCAATTTATGGATCTGCAACTAAAATTTTATTGATTCTAACCTTATTTCCTATAACTTCCCAGGCTAACAAAAAAAAAATCTAATTAATTAAATATGGGATCAAATTATTACATGATATAGTAAAATATGAAAATATAAAAGAAGATTTGATCTTAATTTCTTATAACCATAACTATAAACGAAAAGGAAATCTGAGATAAGATTTTAACGTAATAACAGACCAAAATCTCTCCAATAGATCTGCATCATATCATTGTTGAAACATCATTTTACTTTTTCCGACATTTTTTTCTATTTATTTTTTTTATGAACTGTGATAGGGTGGGGTTGATGGGAGAGGTTAGTGGAGAGAGGTGGGTAAAACAGACCAAAATCTCTACAATAGATTTGCATCATATCATTGTTGAAACACCATTTTACTCTTTCAGACATTTTTTCCGTTTATTTTTTTTATGAACTGTGATATGGTGGGGTTGAGGAAAGAGAGTGGGGTTGGGAGGAGAGGTTAGTGGAGAGAGGTGGGTAAATTTTATTTTTAAGTAATCCTTTTTAGTTATTTAATTATGAATTATTATTATTTTTATTATTTTGACGTATATATTTTTTTATAATTATTTTTATTTGTTTATTTATTATTATTATTATTATTATTATTATTTTGGGCTATTACATAAAGCTTCTTCCTTAGATTGGCTCCCATGCTGCCGTTTCCGCTTTCAGTGAGGTCCAATTGGCTATAAGAATGTTTGATTAATCCACCACACCTAAATAATGTGAAAGTTATCTAATTTATAATCAAATAAATTACAAGGATATGGAAATAGTAATAAATGGAAATAACAATAAATGGAAAGATACCTATGGTATGATAATGATATTTGCCTTATAATAAAATATCAAATATAATATATATGGTAAACTATAATTTATTACTAAATATCCTCAACACCCCACCGCAAGCTAAGCGTCGGATTTAAACGAACGTGAAGCTTGAATCTGAAAAAATTCAAAGAGGTTGAGAAACACTTTTCGTGAAGATGTCAACAACCTGGTTCAGAGGAGGCGTAGAGAAACACTTTCTTGACCATCGAAAATTGCAAAGGGATCGCCGCTTAGCGGCGATGCTGCCTTGGCTTCGGCGAAAATATGTTTAACCCATGAAGAGAGATTGTCGCTTAGCGACGATGCTGCCTTGGCTCTGGTGAGAATATGTCTAACCCCAAGAGTAGAAGAGGAAACCTAGAGCAAGGGACAAAGACAATGCTGAAGTCTGAAAAGTCGTCACATTGGGCGAAGGAGCCAATTTTGGAGAGAAGGGCAGTCGGAAGAGTTGCCACATTGGGCAAAGGAGCCAATTTTGGCAGGAAGGGCGGCGGCAACTTGGTTGGCGAATAGGCCAGTGCGGCACCCAGATTCCGAAAGTAAATCTCTACAAAAGTTTGATGGACTTGTCGAGATTCCGTATATTTCTGAAGAGAACACTGATGAGGATCTTGAGATTAGGGTTTTTATGAAAGATGAAGGGTTGATTGGGAAGAAAATGAGAGAGACTATATTGGCCAAGGGGAAAACAGATTGGGTTGGAAAAGGTGAGGTTGTATGTATAGAATATGACGAAAAGTGATTTGGAGGTCAATAGGGTGGAGCCGAAGAGTAATCAATCAGCTACAGCTGCGACAGCCATGAACACTGCCCCTGCGGCGTCAAAGCCAACAGGAGTGGTGGAGGAGAAGATTAGAGGATTCAAAAGCCCTTGAAAAGAAAGGATATGGGTTGTTAAACCGAGAGGGCTCTGATACCATAAGAATGTTTGATTAATCCACCACACCTAAATGGTGTGAAAGTTATCTTATTTATAATCAAATAAATTACAAGGATATGAAAATAGTAATAAATGGAAGTAACAATAAATAGAAAGATACCTATTGTATGGTAATAAGGCAAATATTAGATATTTTTCTTATAATAAAATATCAAATATAATATATATGGTAAACTATAATTTATTACTAAATATCAACGGGCTCAGTTTGGTCTTTCAATTTTTGGTTCAACTTATTTTTGAGCCAGTTCAAGGTCATTTCAATTGGTTTATAGGTCGATTCAGAGTCCATTTGTTATACATGGATTAAGTGTAAAGAAGTGTTGTGCATCCAATTATACCAACAAAATGAAAGTAGAGCTCCAAATTGGCCCAAAGAGTTGGATTCCAACAATTAGGGTGTATATTGCATATGTTTGCATTTCTTAACCACAACAATAGGGTCATTTACTAAGTATTTTTAAATACTAATTCTTTTCTAAATATATTTTCAGGTATAGATAAGGGACCTCTAGTTGGATATCGACTTTTGTTGTGGAGACCATAGAATGGTGTTCTTCTAGATACATTTTTCACGTTGAATCTTATTTATGATATTTTAGATAGACATGTTAGGTTGTTTGGTTCATATTCCCATGATAGAGCTAGTTTGAATTTAGATTTGGATGATAGAATTGTAGTAAGTATTATCCGTTCCAATTAGATTTCATAAATTCCGGTGTTACAATATGTTTTATGATTTCATAAATTCCAGTGTTACTATATGTTTTAAATGGTTCTTATAAGAACTTTGGAGTATATTTATCTTTGCTTAATTTAACAGTTCGATCATACATTAAAAATAGAGTCTTTATTGTAATAACAAAGGAAAAAGGGGAAACAACGAAAGCATGGTCACATGGACGCCACATGATCAAATGAAAGCTCACATATTCAATATGCCTAAAGAAGTTCCATCCCTTCCAAATGTAGAATGACGAGTTTGTTCAAATTTGGATCGAGATAATTGAAGAAAACATGAAAAGGGAAAGAAGAAAAAAAAGGATAAGACATTGATGCTAAGAACATGTGATACGTATTCCCGGTAGCTCACAAATGCTAAAATGAATTTGATCTAACAACCATACAGAAGAATAAGATCTTTAGATCTAAACATATCCAAAAACCTTAGAACGATAAGAAATCACTCTAAGAGAAAGTAAGATTAAGATTATCTTAGATAGGAACACGTCAAATTAAGCTTGAATGATGCGAAACATGTCACCTAAACTATATAGAATTGCAAAGAAATTTAGTACTTATCTTAAAAAAAAAAAAAAAAGGCAAAGGCTTCTTTACCGAATTTTTCAAGTCTACCCTTTAAAGTTCCGAGGTAAATGTAACCTTAAAAAAAATACCTCTTTAGATACATTAATAAAACAGATTACAACGGGAGTTTATGGTGTGGCAATTTGAAAGACATATTTTCACATTTTTTTTCGAAATTCATATTACACGCCGGAAACATCTTGGTTTATATTAGAAAAACTAAAAGAAGAAGAAAGTAGCAAGCAAGGTGTTCTCATTTAACTTTGAATTGGTGTTTATCTGGGTTGTGAAAATAGTAACAAAACCGCATGAATACGAGAGTTATTGAGATTTTTTAAGTTCACAATATAGAGTTGAGGTGGGGAGTATTTTA